GTATGCAGAAACATACTAAAAGTAAGACCATTAATTAGATGCTATGGGAATAGTCCCAGATGAGAAGTAATCAAGGCTTAACATGGGGTGGCAGATGTAGAAATAAAACAAATACAAAATACACCTGTGTTCAGCATGTCTATTTATTTTTTGCATTTTGATGCTTTGACATCAAAGAACTTGCTGACCCTGGAGGGACTGCTCCTCCCAAGGCTAATCAATTCTTAAACATAGTAAGGGACTCACCTGCCAGCACCCTTTCGTATGCAAATCAACCAATCCAGAGCCTAAAGCCTTAACCAACTCCTTTTATTGGGCTCTCTCAGAGATCTCACTTTCTGGGCCATTACCCACCTGCCCTAATCACCCCTGGAACAGGAACCAGACAACTAGATACTCCTACGACCAGAGCCTTTTGAAATTATCCAAACGAGCCAATTCTAAACCTGCTTATTCTGCTTTGTCTGTTCCTCCCACAGAAACCACAATAAAGGTGCTTGCCCATGTTTTCCTCCAGCTTGTTCTACCTCCTGACTGGCTCTTCTGCTTTCCCAGTTGGCCTCCTGTGTATAGTGTGGCATGCTATGCCTCCTGTTCCTATTGGATCCATGAGTATTTAGAAAAGCTTCTCCCCTCATAACAGTCATTTCCATGTCTATAAAACATCTCAAGTACCCTTAAAAGATAGCAGACACAGAACTGATAGGACTTACATAACAATGCCACTTAAACCTTAAATTTCAAAGAACTTCCACCTATATTTTCTAATTCAATTCTTAAAATAACTTGTAAGATACTTAATAGTCATATTTTACAAGTAAGAAAGCTTAAACTCAAAAGTCAATTTAAATGCTCAAACTCGTCCAATAATTCACAGGCTATTAATCTGTTTGTACATTTAAAATTAATAATAGTATGCATCTTGTAGAGTTAAGGTGATGATTAAATTAGTCCTTACTTCTAAATAAAGTTAGAAGTAAGAAGTTAAATTGTAGACACGTTCATGTTAGGTATCAGTGATATCTTGGTGGAGCTGTCTGGCGGCAGTTGAAAATGCAAGAGTAAAGTAAATTTGAAGGAACAGAAGTGAGAGCTAGAGATTCAGATTTGAGAATTTTTGCATGGAGATGATAATAAATGAACAGAGTCCCCAGATAAAAACCTAAAGGCACAAAGAGAAGGTAACAGAGCCAAAGGAAGAAACTGGAGATAGTAAAAGAAATCAGAAAATAGGCATTGACTTTTTTGACTTGTGACTTTTGACTTATGATTTTTGACTTTTGAAACCTTTTGGTCACTCATTATTGACCTTTGAATAGTTTCTGTACAGAAGTAGAGACAACAGACTGCAAGGGTTAAAGAGTGAACATAGACGTTTCTGGTCCAACATGTAAAGACCACAAAAGTCACTAATCTTATTTTTATCACAAGAAAAAGGCTTAGCAAACTGAAAATCAACATGTCTTTTTAGATCCATCAGATCAGTTTATAGACAAACCACTAGCCAGAAAGCTGGACAAGCAGGAGAAAACAGAGAATCACGACTTACAGACACTCCAACTGGGGCCAGGGAATGGTAGGAAAACTTAAAAGGTAATTGACTAATTGCAGGAGACTGAGGGTAAACTGATTTGAAAGATAAAAACTCCCAGGGCCCAGCCTCATAGAGGCCTACCATGACACTCATCAGGCTCTCGGGAAGAAGATCAAAGAAAAACGCCCTCATAATTCCAGCAGGGGGATAGGGCATGACCATTCTAAAATATACCCAGAATGTTCAGTTTTTCTTAACAAAGGTCTACCCTCAAGGAAAATTATTTTAGCAGAGCCTCATCAACATGTGGGAAGGGAAATACACAACTCCAAGTCCCTCTAGACCTCTTGTTTCACCCAAGGAAAAAAATCTGAGAAACACTTATGAAGGTCACAGCCCAGGGTCAAAGGCCGACTAAAAGACTAAGACTTAATTACAGGATTATGGAACACTTCTCCTACCAACATCTTACCACCACACCACCAGGTCTCCAGTACAATAACAGGGGATTGAAATGGGAAGAACTACAAAGCTCAGAATCCATGACAGAGTCTCTAGGGGAACCTAAAAAAAGAGACAAAAACGAGGACACTAGAGGAAATTGAAGCCTCATAAACCTACTGCTACAGCAAACACAGCCTAATCCCTAGCCAGATAAACACAAAACCTCACACTAAGGGCTTATTTACCTCAGTTCATATTACCTGATGCAACATGTTCAGCTTTCAACAGAAAATTACAAAGCATATCAACGGGCAAAAAAGAAGTCTGAAGAAACAAAGCAAGCATTAGAGCAGACTAAGATATGGCAGAAATTTTGAAATTGTCAAGATTGGGAAATAAAATAATTGTGAGTAATATGGTAAGGACTCTAATGGAAAAAAGGTGGACAGATAACATGAAAACTCTAAGAAAGAATCAAAAGGAAATGAATGAACATGTAAATAAGTAGAATAGAGGAACTATTAAGTAGAATAGAGTGGTGGTTTTTACCACAATGGGAGATTGTTAAGCTAGTGGGAAAGATCTAATACAGGAAAAATTAGAGAAAGTGGAAAATTGATAAATACATGTTTTATGAGATCCTTTCTGAGATCAGCATTAAGTCTTAAAAGGAGGAAGATGAGAAATAACATATTAGGTCAAATCAATGGTTGTAAACGTTTAAGTCTGTGAAATTTTGCTTTAACTGGATAACATGGCTATCTCAAAAAGTGAAGGTTATACTACTTCCCATCTCCCACCTGATTCTTTCTTCAATAGGTAGTCTCTTAGGAATTTGTCATTATTTAAGAAATTCCCAAGAGAATTCAGGAATTCAACTTAATTTTACTTTGAGATTTCCATACCTACAAGTAAAAACAAAAACCAGACAGGATGCACAGTAACCAATATCACTGAAGTACATCGTTCATTCGTTCAGTCAGCAAATATTGAGTGCCTTCTTCGTTCAAGGCAATAGCAGTGAACAAAACAAAAATGTTTACTGCCCCATGGAGTACCATAGTTTGGGTGAAGATGCACTGATGAACATGTATATTATACATCGGGTAGGGATAAGTTTTATGGATAAGCTGAAACCAAGGTTGAGGAACTGGAAGTGCTGGGAATTAGAAGTATTATTATTTTATGAGGGGTGGTTAGAGAAGGCCTTTTTGATAAGATGACATCTAAAGGAAATAAGTGAGTCATGACACTATCTGGGGGTACCATATTCCAAAAACAAAAAACCCTGGAAATGCGTAGGCCTTAAAGTGGGAAAATAATGTGCCTGATATTGTTGTGGAACAATGAGCCAAAGGGAAGAGTCCAAGGTAAGATCCTGTGGGACTCTGTAATGATGTGAAATTTTAGTCTGAGTGAAATGGGAAAAACTGGAGGGTTTTGAGAAGAGCACAGTGACTACCATGTGTAGGGTGTTAGTAAGACCATCCAGGTGGTTACTGTAATGTTACAGGGACTTCTATTAGAGCGGTAGTTTCCATTTATTTTGCAGGTAGAAATGACAGAATCTGCTGATGGAGTGGGGCATTAGAGAAGTCAAGGGAAACTCCAAGGTTTTTTTACTGGGTAACTGGAAGAGCAGAAATTGTCATTTACTGAAATGACAAAGACTGCAGAGTAGATAAGAGGGGGAAATTAGTTTAGTTTTGCATATGAATTTTGAGATGTCTATTAACTTCTAAGTGCAGATGTTGATTTTATTAAAGTCTGGTTTTTGGAAGAGGTGCTGGCTAGAGATGTAAACTTGTGAATCATCAGCGTATAGGTGATTTTTAAAGGCATAAGGCAATAGTGAAGAAAAGGGGTTTAAAGACTGACCCCAGCAACACTCCAATATTTAGATATGGGAAAGAAGAAAAAGTACCAGCAAAGTATTTTGAAAAGAAGTAGCTATAAAACAAGGAGAGAACTAGGGAGGAGTGGTGTCCCAGAAACCAAATGAAGTGATTCAAAATTCGAGATGTGTAAGGGTTAAGAAGAAACTGAGAAACGGCCATTGCATTTCGATGGACGCCTACTGCTGACCTTCACAAAAACTATTTTGTGGAGTGGTAGAATGGAAAAAAGACGTTGAGAACCATATTCAAGAAAGAATGTATGGTTCTCTCCCAAGAATTTTCAAGTTCTGTTAAAGAAAGATTAGCTCAGCTGGAGATTGGAGGTGAGATGTTGAAGGTGTGAGAAGAGAGAACAAAAGTGGTCTGGAAGTGTGGGAGAGTGGATTAATGAGGAATCTTCAGTGCAATTGCTGGGCATTACTAAGGGACCATTTGTTATAAGCAAAAAAAGTCCACAGAGCTGTGTGCTCTTCTCCAGCCTCTCGTTCAAGTGTTGCAGAAACGGCAGAACGTCGCGAGCAGTAATGGGTTTTAAGGCACGATGGCATGAGGAGGCAGAATAAACTTCGACTACAGAGCATAGCCAAGTTCAGTCTGGTGGCTCACTGAACCTGAGGATTGAAAGGGGCAACAAGCATGATGCGGCTGACCGGAAAAACAACTTCAGAGTGTTAAGGAGGAAGAGCGGCTCTAAACAAAGCCGATCTTTTCCCGTAGAGCAAACACAGCAGTTTGGGGGTTGAAAAAGTCTGTACTAGGTCAAGTTAGGGGACATTGCCGCATGAGAGCTTCGAGAGCTGGCTGAACCCAGACGCAGAGAAAGACAGGATCTATAAGGGCTTCCTCCGGGACCCAGGAGGGACTAGGTTTTAGCGCCGGAACTTACAACCAGAGGTTCTGCTGCTTGCGGCTGTTTACTGGAGAGACAGGCATGGTGGCGACAGGCTGTGGAGTGGTCGGCCACCCCCTTCCCTAGCTGCTTCTGGCGTCCCTGTACCCCAACCCCCGGCGTTAGCGGCTCCGGCTGAGGCTCGGGAATGTTTGCCGGGCGTCATGGAGACGGAGGAGCCCGGGCTCAACAAGCGGCCCCGCGGTTGGCTGGCGGCTGGAGACCGAGGAGGAGGGCGGAGGCGGAGGGGAGGGCAGAGGGTTGGTGGAGCAAAAGGAAGCTCCCGACGACGACTAGAAAAAGGAGGCGGGCGGCCAGGGCCCCAGGCCCCTCCCAGGTTCTGAGTCTCCCCGGCTGCAGGCGGATGGATGAGGCTTCTTCAGGCGGTGGCGGCAGCAGTGAAGGTGGCGGCGGCAGCAGCGGCAGCGGCTGTAAGTGCAGCCTCCATAAACCATCTCTCCTCTCCTAGTCCTGATTGGGATGAAGGGCTCCTAAAGTGTCCTCGGTCCCCTTTCTCTCCTTCCCCTCCCCCACGGTAGAGCACCGCCCGGAAGACCCTTAACTTCCGGGGAGGGGCTGCAAGAGAACGCGCCCGGCCCGCTTCCCCCTCCCGGAGAGCGCCGGCCACCCCCCCCAAGGCGCATGCGCAGCTGACCTCCACCGCGCACCCCCTCCCACCCCGGTCTTTTGCTTTGGCGGTGGCGGCGGCGCGGATCTTCCCTGGCGTCGCGGCGCGCCGGGAATCCGCTGCGGTGTGAGTTAGTCTCGCCCGGTTCGCTTCCGCACCTTTCTCCTTTCGGCCCCGGAATCCGGTCGGGGTGGGGCTAAGCTGACCATCCCCCTGTGGCTCCGCCTCTTTCCCCCCTGTAGATCTGGGTTCGGTCCCAACCCTCCGGAGGCTCCTGCTCGCACCGCAGTCCCCGTGGTGAGCGGGGTCCTGGGCGAGCCGGCTCTTTTCGGAGGGAGTGAGGGAGGGAAGAGAGACTGGAAGAGGGCATTAATATGAAGGAAGGAGGTCCTCCCGGTCCTTGGGAAGATCCCTGGGGACAGATGCCTCCCCCTCCTTGAAATGGCCTTGTTCTTGCAGCTTTTCGTGGAAAGATCTCTGGCTTGGAGCCCATCTCTGGTCCCCGTTTGCTATGTGACCTTGGGCGAGTCACTACCCTTCTCCGGGCCCCTGTTAGCCCTAAAGCTTCCTCCAACGCTAAAACTCTTAATTTTGCAGAAAAGCTTATGCAGTTACAAGACTGGCCCGTCTACTGAGGCCGCTTTGCCCAGATGACGTGGAGTTGACCGAAACTTCTTTCTTCAATCATGGATGGAATGAGGCGACCTATGTATTGGGTCGTTTTTATTACTTTACCATCGGTTTCAAATTGCATGTCTCAAGGCTCATTAATGTTTTCCTAAAATTGTCATGGGGATCCTTGTCCTAATTCCTGGCCATCTTTTTTAAAATTAGAGACAGGCTGAGAATTAGAGACATGGTGAGCTTGTGGTATCATCATCTCTGGTCTCGTAACTACTGAGGCTCTCTTTCCTTTGATCCAGATGGTGTGGTGGCTCGATTCTCCCAGTGCCTGGCTGAGTTTCGGACGTGGTTAAGAACCAACTGGTTGAGGTTCAATGCAGACAAGACGGATGTGATGCTGGTAGGCAGGGGCACACTTGGAGATTAAGGGAGGGAAAATCCGAACTCCCTCAAGTGATATAAATATTACATTACTCTTTCTGTATATTCCAGTGTTTGAGAACTGATGATGGGCCAATAATGTCCAGAGTTGGGTGAGATAAAAATAACCTTTCAACAGTATTAGGACTATAAAAATAAGTTTGTTATAGTCTGAAAAAATGGGGCCACTCGATAAAACTCTTTATGTAAAAATTATGAAAAAAACCAAAACTGTTTTTTGAAGAACCAAAAGGCTATGTAAGTGTTTTGGGGTGACATTAATAATAAAAACCAAACTAACAAAAAGATGATGGTGATTCTTGCATAGATGTGGGGCTTCCGAATGTAATGCATTACTGCTTTGTAACCTGCATTCTGCCTACTAAAGTAAAGGTAAACTCTCAATTTATCAAAAACATCCTTTTTAAGTTTTTTGATATTTAGGTATCTTCAAATTAGTAGATATTCGTCAATTTTTACCTGCACATCATGTGTAGGTTGACACTTTGAAATAAAAATACCAAATAATCTCAAAAGGGACTCATGGACTCTGAAAATAGCTAGGTAGAGAATTTGTTTTTAGGGTTTCGAATGTGCTGCATTAATCTGTGTCATTCAAACAGCCCTAGAGTCTAAATTGTTAAAATATTTTCTTGGAGCATTTTGAGAGGTTCCTGAATTGCATAACATTTTGTTTATGTAGTATAGGTATATAGTACTTATATTTGAGTCAGGTATTGGTACTGAATAAAAGGTATATTTTTAGGTATATGTAAATTACCAGACTTTTATTTATTGGTTAGTTTAAGGTACTGGTTGAAGTAAAATTGTGACCTTAAAATGCTTTTCTTAAAAGCAAAATAACTGAGGGTGTGTGTGTGTGTGTGTGTATGTGTATGTATGTATGTATGTATGTTTATTATAGCCTCTATAAAAATGTTTAATTTTTTAATGGAGTATTTAGTAAATTACTTAAAAATAATTTCCCAATATAACAGCAGTTTTGAGAAGCTTAAATGTGGTGAAAGTTAATGTTAGTTTGCTTGAAAATAAGGAAGCATTTAGATAGGGAATGGGAGCTCAAGAGTCATTTATTCAGGCTTTGTATAGTGATTTTTTTGTTTTGGGACATTAGCCACAAACCTCACATAAAATTGGAATTAACTACACTTTTTAGTTTAACTTTAGATATTTTACTATACAATTCTAACAATACCATTTTGGAGATCACATTAATAAATACTATAAACTGTAATGATTTTAAACATTTTATAGGTATTGGTGAATTTTCTCATACCTTTAACTCTGTCATGTCTTGTTTTTAGGTCTTCTAGTATCAGTAGGCATTAAAGATTTATATTTTGTTAACCCAAGTATAAATAATGATTGCACTTAAATACAAAGAAGACATCTGTTGAATTAATCCAAAGTGCTAAAAAACTCAGGGAAATGGATGGAAGTAACAAGGAGATAGATTCTGGTTTAATAAAAAGGAGAATGTTCCAAACATACAGCTTTTTCTGAAAAGAGCAGCCTCTTCATCAGACAGTAAGTCATTGGAGGTGTTTTAGCATAGGCAGAAAAGCCTGGTAGTGGGGACACATAATGAGGGATTCCTACCTAGAATAGAAATTGACTAAAAGACCTCTAAGGACCCATCTAACACTAAGATTCTGTGGCTAATGAATAGTTAATTTTTTACATATTTGATACTGAACAGGTTAGCAAGAGTTTTTGAAAAGACTGCTTTCCTTAAAGTGGCTTCTAAAATTTTGAAAGACAAGTATATCATGAGAATAAAATGGGAATAAAACCATACTGAATTCATTAGTGTGTTACTAATGACTTACAATATTGGAGCTATTTCTCTTTATTTTCATAATATCTGAACGTAAAAAAAAGCACTGAGCCCACATTTATTAAAAAAAGGAGGAAAAAAATGTAGAGGGAATTTTCCCCCCAAATGATAATGCCACTTAAAATTAGTAAAAATGATACACAGTATTAATAAACTTAAAAGTCATTTATCAATAAGAGGGATACACATTCAAGTATGTCCCAGATTTGATTTTCTTGACAATTTCAGAATTCATTCAGTAGCTTAAGGGACCACGATCCCCAGCTTTTTAATCACAATTGGGATTTTTTGTTGAGGTTTACCTGAAGAATCAAAGAGTAAATGGGTTTAAGCAAGCAAGTTATTCCTGTACCTTGCATTTTGACAACACTTTTTAATTTTCTTTTTGTGAACTAGCTAAATTTCATGTATTAGCTTTGGTAGTTAAATGGAAAATCCTCCTTTATCCCCACGGTATTATGAAGCCTGAGTTTCTACCTCTAGGCCCCTTATTCTGTCTTTACCCACCCCAGGTCTATGCACATCAATTGTTCTTTGCCTTCAGCTATTTTCCAGCAAGCACCTCAAAGTCAAAACTAAGCACAAGCTGACTTTTCAGAAAATGATTTTTGAGTCCAAAGGACTAAGGTAATTCAATAGGGTAACTCTATGTACCTATACTAAAATACTTATTCCCCCAAGAAATCCTGAAAAACACTTTTATAGTATAAGTATTCTAAAAAAATAAAATGAAAATACTGTACAGTACAGTTAATGGTAAAAATTGTTTGTAGATTTGGGAACCTTAAAGTTTTCCTTTCTCTTCTTTCCCTTGCTTTTCTTTCAGTAGAAAATGTGCATCAGATGTTTATGTTTAATTGGTTTACAGACTGTCTGTGGACTCTTTTCCTGTCAAATTACCAGGTAATGTCCTTTCACTTAGCAGCTACTTCATATACCTATAAATGCACAAATTATTCATGCACAAATTATTATTGGACATAAGAATTTCAAACTAATGTTGAATCTTTGGAAAAAGGAAACTGCTTAATATAGTCTAGAATTTTAAGGGAATACAAATAATTTAAGAAAATAGCCCATATTGCATTGTAAGTTAAATATTAAAGAAAAATTGTTTATGTGCACATTTATGCAGTATATTGTAGTGCCGGCATTACATTATTTGGAAGGAATGACTTTTTATATTTGACTGGTTGATTTGGGTAATCATTTTTGAAATTGCATTAAGAACCCTTGAACATTTTGGGGGAAAACGGTCTTTTTGAAATTAAGATTTTTAAACTGGTTTAGTAAAATATGTTACTGCATGTTTTAATATCACCTTTGCAATACCAGTATCTGCCTTAGTAATGAAAGGGAAACATGTTTGTTATTTTGCAGTCATTGGCCGGGCAGTCATTAGCATTGGCATCAAGGCCAATTGGTAGTTCTAGGCCAATATTTTAAACTTTCAAATTGCTGGCATTTCAGGCATTGCAAATAAGTAGGTTTTCCCTCTATGGAGTCAATTCAGAGATCCATCAAAGAGCAGCTTTTTAGTATTTCGCATTTTGGAATTTTCTCTAGTTGTGCAAAATTCAAACGTTGCACAATTATGTTGCTCCTGGCATCTCCGGAAGTGTGTGGGGGAAAAGCAAATGAGATGTGAGGATGGCAGACTACCTTTCCACAGTCCCTTTTCTTAATCTCTGCTCTGACCTCTAAGATTTGGGGATGTGGGATTTTACATTTCCTGTCAGGAATCAACCGAGAGAGAGAGAGAGAGAGAGAGAGAGAGGAAGAGAGAAAGAGAAATACTTGTCAAGAGACAGCCGCTTTCAAAGCGCGCCAGTTTGCGCTGTTGCCGTTGTTGCATCACAGCAACATCCGTTTTCCAGCAAATGCACTTCAAAAAAGGCCTACATGTAAAATATAACGTATCTTTTCCCCTGCGATGTGAATGCTGGACGCGGCTTTTTTGGCACTTTTCCTTGACCTCTCTGGTCCCCTTAGGGCCCTCTCCAAGCTGGAGTCGCGGATCCGCTAGCGCAGGGGAGGCGCCCCGCGCTGAGATGCCCACCTCCCCCCCAAAACCCACCTTGACTCCGCCCCCTCCGCGCTCCTCCCGGGGAAGGCTGCCGCGGGGTTGCGCGCGCGCGCCCCTCCTGCCGCGCGCGCGCGCCGGCCTTTTCCTTCCAGGCCTCAGCCGGGCCGCCGCGAGGGGGCGGAGTGGGGTGTGGTGGGCGCGCTCGGGCGGCTCCTGCGCGTTCCCGCCGAGGCAGCAGCGGCGGCGGGAGCGGCAGAGACGGCGGCGGCGGCTGGAGTCCCGTTGCCGAGTCTCACATCCGGGTTCTGGCCGTGACCCAGCTGCGGCCGCCGCGGAGATGTGACCCGTCAGTACGGCAAATATGGCGGAGGTAAGGGAGCGAGCTCCCCCTCCCCGTCCCGGAGCCGGGCGCCCCCGGGCCCTGGCCGGGGAGGAGTGGAGTGGGCCTGGCTAGGAGAGGCCCAGCCCTGCTGGCGCCACTGCCCACCTGTTGTCCGGAACAGGCCGCGCTCTGGGCGGGAGCTTTCCCTGGAACTTAGTTGGGATGGGTTTGTGGGTAGGTGGAAGCGGAGGCGTAGTAGGACTTCGGGGGCAGTTTGAAGGGTCGAGTGCTGCGTAGTAGTGCGTGCGGAGAGGGGTGAGGGGGAGTGGGCGCCCGCGGGGCAGGGGCGTCGGTGGCGCAACTTCGCCGGCCGGTGCTAGGGGCCAAGAGAGGAGCTGCTGCTTCCTCTTCTTGCGAAGTTTCTTCCCTCCCTCACCGAGATGCTGTTGCGCCCTTCCGCGTCACCCCCACCCGTTTGCTACTGACATCCAGTCTGTGTTAATGGGGAAAACGTAAGGCAGAATGGCCTTTAACTCTCGTTTTCCTTATGGTGTTAAGATGAGCGTGGAGAAGTAAACCTGGCCTTTCGCAGGCTGGCCGTTTAGGTTGGGGGACTCTCCCTATATCTCCGGAACAGTTCCATTCCTTCTCAGGGTAGAACCTCTTTTTCTCTCTTCACATTTCAGAAGAGTTGCTTTCTACCTTTCTCTCTCTTCACTTTCCAGCATTCCCTCCACCCCTTTCATGTTAAGGCTATCTATTATTGTCTTTCTC